CCATTTTAAAATCCATCTAGGAATCCATCAAAGATAGCTTAAAAGTAAGACATGCATTGTTCCTGAGCAAAGAAAGAATAAAAGCATGGTTGAAAATTTAGCCTGGCCTGCTTAAGCATGTTAAATTCCCAGTTATATTGTGATGAACTTGTAAGTGGTTTTTCAGCTTGGCTCATGTTGCAGATACTCTACACGTCAGAACATGTCAAGCAGAGGGCAGAGGGATAAGCACATAGTGGCAGCATCTGGAATACAGTAATTCCTCTTCCCAAATCTTTTTTTCTACTACATTCCTGACTCCAGCTCTGACAGCTGGTTTTGCTGGAGGAAGTCACCCTTGCTTCCTTCTCATTTGAGTAGCAGGTTTTAACAATAAAACACTACTGGGAAACCTGGGGACCAGCTAAAGAGTGTGTCTTCAGTTTCAGCAGTTTTCAGCATTGCCTACATTCAGGTGGGGACATTTTTTCTTCTACAGTTCCTTCTCTTCCCAGCTAAGCATGCAGGAGTCTCCAGTTAAAAAGAAGTTAAAACAGTGCACTGTGACAGATACCTAATTAACATATTTAAAGACCCCCAAAAAAGGTTACTTTTAGCTATAATATTTTTTTCTGTTAGTTCTGGCAAACTTTAATGTGTTTCCACAGTATTAAAAATCAACATTCTCTGTATTAAATTAACTTCCATTTTTTCAATATAAAAAATGGAAAGCATACAAGAGAATGCAAACATAGATTCCTTGAAGACTGTCTTCTGTATAGCTTCAATCAAAAACTATCACTATGAATTTATGTGCACCTAAAAAGAAAACTGGGGCCTAAATGTTTATGGGTGTGAACATGTGAATGCTGAATAAAATTCAAACAAGAATTCGAGGCAACATTTGGTTGCCTAAGTAGTTTTATGACACAATCTTAAGTATTCTGATAGTGTTTGTTCAAAGGAAGCCAAGCCTCAAGGGAAACAGGTGTCCCTTGGAGGACCTGCTGGATCTCTCTATGTGAGGAAGCAGACGGAACTTGCAGCTTGTTCTTCCACTTTTGTGGGAAGGTATTTTTGGTACAAGGAAAGAATTCTGGTCTCTGTGCAATTGCTCACTTGGTTAATTATCTTTAGCAGATTATAAATACCCTTCCAAGGTCACTTCCTACAAAGTGCTGAGTATCTTCATACAATGTTGAGGCAATATAAAAACATTTCTCAGAAGAAACAAAAATCTCCCTGTTGATAAAGAAAAAAAATTAAAAAAAAAAAAAAATATGACCACTATTGCGTGGAGTCCTGCCCCAAGTTATTCCAACTTCTTGGACATCAGGTTCAGTCAGGCCACTCAAAAAGGGTATCCAGCATTGTTTAGTATCTGTCCAAGGGGGCATTGAGAAGATTAATTAGGATGGGATCAATCTGAATTAATTTAATTAACAGTCTTAAATTTCAGTATATAAAATAATCTTTGAGATTTTCCTAAGGACAGTGAAGTGACATGATCATCTGCAAATGATACTTTATTATTTTCTAAGCTGAGAGCCTTAAAAGGGGAACAGCAATGCCAAAATGGTCGAGTAATACAGTTATCACAGGCTGTCCTGTGACTCTGCAGCCCCTTAGGTAGGCGTCCCATTTTCACTTTGTGGAAGCTGAATTACTGGAGTACTGATTTTCAAAAGCAAGCAGATCTCATCACTGTCATATGAAACAAGCTTTAACATTCTGTGAAGGATGGTCAGAGGTTTCCTTCATGATTCCAGATGACCAGCATGTTATCCAGCCTCAGTCTGGAGTAGCAGAGACTGAAGCATTGTTTCAACACCCACACCCTCTAACATGAGCTTCTCAGTCAACCCCTGAAAATATCAGACACAGGAATAGTTTCCAATAGTAAATTAACTTCCAGTTGAGTCCCTTAGCCAAGATGATATATTTTTAAATCCTGTAATTTAACTCAGGCAGAAGTTTTGCATAACCTTTATGCAAAAAAACCTATGAGATGAGATCCTACGGGCTGTGCAATGCAAATTCAAAAATCAATCAATCGTAATAGCCAAAACTGACCTGAAAACACATCAAAGTTGGGGTTTTTCATTTTCCTAGTACATTACAAACACATCCAGGAAATCTACTTAGTATAAGTGAATTCACCAGAAAGTTCCATTTCTTTTTTCAGAGGATGTCTCTAAGAAACATTGTTTTATTTAAACAAGAAGAAAAGAAATCAGATCACAAGTGGTTTTCTTCCTTTTGCAAGTTTAAGCAGGTTTAGCAGGTACAATTTACTACTGGAATAATAGGAAAAAATAGGAAAATACTTGTTATCTATTATTTGCATTACTGCAGCACATTCAAGTACCTGTCAGTGAGCACTCCACAGAGATGGAAAGAAACCATGTCCCCTGCCCAAAGAGCTAACCTGCTGTGAAGGACAAGAGGCACAGTCCCATCTAGACAGTCATGAAGAACCCAAACTGCTAGGAAAACTATGTTGAGCACAATAAGAAGATCAGTGTAATTGCTCCTAATTGTATTATTTAATTCAAAATTACATTGTATCTGAATATTGTATAAAAGGTGGTTATGGTTATGCTGATTTAGTATTTTTGATAGGATTTATTTTTGGTAATATATTCAGTTACCTATTTTTAAAAGCTATCTCCTTTTGGAAACTACTTATTGGTCACTGAATTTTACTGTTGTCTAGTAGGACAGTTTGGGGGCAGGGGTGTTTCTTTGACTTTTTCAAAGAATTTTCATAGATTAGGAGAACAAAATGCAGGACAGTTTAACCTATCTGTTTTTTCTGAGCACTATACTAAGAGGCATGTCAACAACCTTTCAACCAACTAAAATCTCCTGCAGCATAGTGCCACTGTTTTTCTAATTTGACATCAAAGCAATAACTTCCAAAAGTTCTGGAACTGCTTGTGAATCCAAGATCTCATTTGTATCACTATTACTTCAGCCACTCCGTATTTTATTTTCTCCATAATCTTCATGTAAGGGGTGCACTGCTCTATCAGCTGGACAGCCCTTGCCTGTCACCCCAACCCCAGACTTTGCTGCACCGTAACACCACTGTCAGGCTAGAGAGAAGAGAACAATCCTACAATAACTGGTGTTTTAGTTCATTATTCTCCAGATTCTGGGGCTGATTTTATCAAGACTTCATACTGGACTCATCTGTTCATTTCCCCTATAGCTTTTGACAGCTCTGAGATTCCTGCTGACTCTACCAAAAAAAGGAACATAGTTTACCAGGAAAGCAGAAGGAGTGTAACTCTGACATACGGAGAGAAGGAAATCTTGTGTAGGCAGCCAACAGAAGGATCAGGAAAGCCCAAAGGAGTCATCGCCTCAAAACGTTCTGTTTCACACTGCTAAAACTGGTTATTTGTATACATTGGTGGATCTTTTCGGTTAATTAGGTGTTATTTAATGATCTCAATCACTTTCAAGGGACCTGTGGCCAAATACAGCCAAATACTGCCACATGGCAGCTCACACCATCACGACTTTCTCTAATACCCCGTCTGTGGGAGGTATGTAAGCGAGTTACTCGGTTGCAAACCAAGCCTTGTTACACCCGGGTTGTTCAGCCCTGCCAGGACGGTTCTGAGACAGCCACAGCGACTGAAGCTGGTAAATATTTTACATGCAGACAGGTACTTACAGGCTTTTCCTCACCATAATAAAGTTTAAATCTCAGTCTTGAGCCGTCGATTTGCAGGTCCTTTTATTTTCTTAAAGATCACTACTGTTATTTATTTTAGCATCTCTAAAGTTCCCGGTGGGTTTAAGTGTTGTTTTGGTGTTATTTTAGGTTTGGGTTTGTTTGTTTTGGGTTTTTTTCTTTTGCTTTAGCTTTGGAGCTCACTCGGTGTATTTTGTGGCTGCTGTTCCCTCCTCTCCCGAAACGCGATCCCTGGGTAGGCGGCCGGGGGCAGTGGCCGCCAGCAGCCAGCACGGCACCCCCGCGCTCGAAACCCGCCGGGATTCCCCATCCTGCCGCCGGCCTGAGCGCGCCCATCGTGGAAGCAGCGGGGAGCGGCGCCCAGCAGCCGCGGCGGGGCAGGCACAAGTAGGGCGCTGCCAGGCGGGGAGCGGAGCGCGGGGCTCTCCCTTCGAGAGGCGGGCGGGAGCCGCTCCGCGCACAGCGAGCCGAGCTGAAGCCCCGCACGGCGCGGCTCCGCTCGGCGGCCAGGTGGGTCGCCGGCAGCCCCACCTGGGCCCGGGGAAGAGGGGGACGGGACTCCGAGAGAGCCTCCCGCTGGCTCCTGGGTGAGGCAGCCCGGCAGCGGCGGCTGAGCTGGAGCGCGGGGGCGGCGGGCTGGAGCCGGGCGGGGCGCGGGCGGCGGCTCCCCCTGGCCGGGCGGCGCTTGGTTTCTCCTGCCAGCGGAGGCAGGGCTAGGCGCGGCGAGGGTGGGCGCGGAGTTGGCGGCAGGGCTGGGGGCAGTCGGCGGCGAGCTCCGGCGGAGTTTGTTCTGCACGCGGGGCGGGAGGTGAGGGACGGGGTCCGGGACCGGGCTCGGCTCCGCGGTGGGTTTCCGGGGCGGGAGTCTATAGCGGCGCGGAGCGGAGGGGAAGAGCCCCGGGGTAGGGACGGCAGGTGGGGAGCCGCGGGACACGGTGGGCGGCAGCGGGTCAGACCCTCCTCTTCCCCTCCGTGCTACGCCGGTGGAGTCGACGGCCGGGTGGGAAGGTGGCGGCGTGAGCTGGAAGTGGGCGAAAACTTGTTCCTCCGCGTGTTCTCCCGCTCTGCCGCGAGGTCGGGGCCACCCGGGCGAGCCGCGTATCCGGGGCGGGGGCGGGGGACGAGACGCGGGCCGGGGGAGGGGGGGGGGGCGCGAGCAAGAGG